GTGGCCGCTTGTTCGTTTGCCACCTTGTTATAAAAAAAAAAGTTTAGTCAAAGGTGTCTGTGCGCTCTAATAATATAAATGCGATAGTTTAGATAGATGGATGGATTTATTAATCTGTTGCCTAAACGGCTGAAAAGATCTCGGTGTAGTTTGGTTTAAACGATCATAGCTTGGAAGAACACATAGGCTACTCACTGTTTTTAACGTGGGCGAGAGCTATTTTATTTATATTGATTGTAGTTTTAATTTTAAAATAATAAAACACTATTTTTGGATAGTTTTTATTCATATTCAAACAGTTAAAATCTATACTTAGATACATAAAAACAGTTTATTTCTAATTAAACAACTAAACTTATAATTATTGTATTTTATTTAATCTCTCGATGGTAAAAAAAATAATTATGTTATCTGTAATGGCCATGGAAGTAATAAGTACTACGTACAACAGGAATGAGCTCTATCTGTACATGCAGTTGGATAATTCCCAACCGTCACCCCGCTCTGTCCCCACGTGAGAATAAAAAGTTTGATCAGTCCCACCTTTTAGTCCCACTATCACCTATATGGTGAAAGATGGAACCGTTATGAAATAAAATAAGTTACAAGTCCCCTCGTCTCAAAAGGTTTATTCTCATCTGTCGTGGGGACAAAGTGGCGTGACGGTTGGGAATAATCCATGGAGTTAAAGTAAAATAAAACCTTATGCTAAGGGCGTAAGAGTCATGTTACACGGAACATAAAATTGAAGCCGAATAAGAGGGCTACAAATGTCCCCTGTGTACCTTTCTAAGCCCACAGCTAGCATATAGATATAGAATAAATAATTGCCAGTAGACAACAGAATTACTGAGCTTTATTCCAGATGTTGTCGTCTAACTGTATTTGTACCACTTGGCCGCTGTGCAGCGCGCCCTCGTTTAGCAGTTCCACATTCAATTCTGGCAACTCCTGCAATATTTGACTTATTATGACACTTATATTTGATATCTGACAAATATCCCAACACTGGCGACCCGCCTTGGCTTTACACGAGTCTAGGATTATTCCCAACCGTCACCCCGCTATGTCCCACGTGAGAATAAAATTTCATCCGTCCCACTTTTGAGTTCCACTATCCACAATAAGGTAACAGAAGAAGTCGCAAAAGGTGAGACGGATGAAGCTTTTTATTCTTACGCAGGGACAGAGCGGGGTGACGGTTGGGAATAATATGTTTATACATCACAGTAGAGACCTCTAAAATTAAAAACTGGTGAAATTTAAAACAGTGTTTAGATACAATTAATAAAGGCAGTGTTTTAAATAGAATATAAGCTGACCTCTCCCCCAGTACTGCAAGCGATAGGCACGGTGTAAGCACTAGGGTCCAACTCTGATTCCTCGTGGACTCCTTGTAAAATCTTAGGTCTTCTGGGGTTTTTAGCTATGCCACGACCACGGCGTGCTGGTTGGAACATATCTATGAAAAATATCACTTTTAACATCACAATTTTCAATAATAAAACAATTTAAAAATGTTACTTATGATATTTTAGTGGCAAACGACGAAATGGTCACCTGAAATCGAATAAGCGACCGCTGTCTATAAACATTAATATTTGCAGATGTACATAAAGAGCATATTTTCCTATCTAAAACGTCCCTTCCACTGCCAAAACTACATCCCTTCCCATCCTTCATTTAAAAGAAGGGAATGAGACCTATCTCAAGCATCATTTTGCATCTTTGTATGATGGTACAACAATGTTTAGATTTAGGTTAATTTAGAATACTAGTTTTACGAGTTCATATGCGAGGAATCAGAACAAAAAATAGTAAAAAGTATAGCCTATATTACTCAGTGATAATATAGCTTTCTAATAGTAAAAGAATTTTTAAATCGATTCAGTAGTTTTTGAGTTTATGCGTTACATACAAAAAACAAAAATACATTTTTTTTTAGTATTCTCGATAGCGTGTTGAAACTCTATGGATAAAGATGTATAATGTTGCTAATGGTTGAGATTTTTATATTGACTTACCGATATTAACAGGTGTGGGAGGTTCGCATGTTATCTTAGTGCGCGGAACATGTCCTAACAGCGAAAGGGCCCGCGCTGTCGTCGGCACTATACTGCTTGTACCCTACACACACGTACGCAATAGTTTTTTTCAATAACGAAAACTATTTTATCGAGATTTGATATCAACTACTTCAATTGCAACACAATCCGCCATTTTGTAGACGGCCATATTGGATTTAATAGTATACCATACTTTAACAATCTCTTTGGTAGTACTACGTTAGTAACGCTGGGTTGCCAAAGGTTCTATTTTATTATAACCTAGTAACTCATTAGGGTTAGATTGACCTAAGTTTCAACGGAGTAAAACTCAAGTTACGTAATTCAGAAGCGCATTTCTTTAAGTTATCTAAACAAATATCTAACGAATCGTTAATTGTAATTTGGAAACCGGTAATGATAGCAAAAAAATAAGTAAAAAAAAACTGTAAACCATCATCATCAACTTGCCTTTATCCCTTACAGAGGGTCGGCACAGTATGTGCTTCTCTTCCATACATCTGTCAGCCGTCATATCTGAATCCACTCCTTTCTTAAGCATATCCTCTTTCACAGAATCCATCCATAAAAAAAGAACTGTAAACCATTGAATTAAAGTCTATTTTTGTGTATTCACCTTTTCAAAGGACATCTTTGTGATCTCCACGATGCGTCCGTGAGTGATGTTGTTATCTCGAATGTGTTGCATTATCTCTTCATATGTAGGGTTCAAACCTTTCATCTGAGAATTAAAAATCCACTCATTCTTATAAACAGCTGTTTTACTAGTTCGATATCGATTCTTCAATTTTATGGCATATCTAGATATTTTCTTATAAACAATATTAAATCTTATCCGAATAAATGAAATTGTTATCAGGAGAATTGAATGTAGAATAAAATTGTCGTTTACAGTATTTAAATTGGACTAATAGTTTAGAAGATATCGCGAACACAATCAGGGTAACCGAAAAATCAGCGCACAAACTACGGGGCTTAGGAATTTGGAATCTTGCATCGGTAGATTTCTGTTATTATGTAGATTACTACTAAGTTAGTACTTTTTGGTAATAAGTTGCAAAAAGGGGCGAACGTAAGTTGTTGTAATAAACAGGGATAAGATGTATCAGATGGTAAATGAGCAAGCAAGGTCGTAGATAGGGAGGTAGGGCATTTTGAGTCACCATACCTTGAAATCATAATGCCCTACATTAAAATATAAACTATATTTACAATATGTAACAGGAATATCCCCCTTTAAGCTCGTATTTCGAGTGCAAATTTACACTAATATTATAAAGAAATTTGTTTTTTTGCATGTATTGAAATAACTTAAAATCTACTGGGCTGATTTTAAAAAACATTTTACCGTTAGAAAGGTAATTTATCTGTGATAATTGTGATCACTTCAGAGATCAATTAAACATAGCCTAGCCAGGCTAGGATTAGGTAACTCGGTTACAAAATAAAAAATGTCCTCTTTCATGTCATGTAGGTTTTATCAGGAAATCTGATGAGGGTAGAATAAACACATTACATTACATTTAGATAGTTTTTTTACCTTACCTGTAATCTGTAAACTCTAGCTTCAGCCGTGAGCATCCGACCTATTGCTACAAAATGAATGCTGAAAAACATACAGAAAGAGTTTCCCTTACCTCAAACACGATCATATATGTGGGATGTTTGAGTCGCATATGCGTGCGCAGATCAGAGCGGATACGGAACCGCTTGGGACAGCGCGCACACGCCCACGCGCGAACACCGGAGTGAATCAGCCGGTGATTACGCATTGCTGTCGAACTACATTAGGAATTTGTTATTAATTTAAACTATCTTTCGCCTGCGACTCCGTCCCCGTGGAATTAAAAAAAGGTAACTAAGTAGTAGCCTATGTGTTCTTCCAGACAATCCTCTACATCTATACCAAATGTCATCGAGATCCGTTAACCCGATTAGTTTAATATTACTAACTTTCACCCGTGACTACGTCCGCGTGAAATTAAAAAAAATAAAAATTAGTAGCTTATATTCGTCCAGACTATCCTTTACATCTATGCCAAATTTCATCGAGATCCGTTAAGCCGTTTAGGGTACAAACTCTAACAAACATCCATCCATCTAAACTTTCGCATTTATAATAGTAGGATGTGCTACCGTCTGAATGCAACCCCGCAGACATCACAGGGGTATGGCCGCTCTCCGGTGTGGACACGCAGGTGTTCATTCCGTACGGAGGCGGAGCGGAATGCGCGGCCACATACTGCACACGCGTGGGCACGACCACGCTCACCCCGGGCCTCCCCTTCGTGTCCGTGGACCTCTCTAACACGTGGGACACGAGACTTTGACTATCGCACAAAGATTTGACAGAGGAGATATATGAAGGGGAAATTCGACGGTTGAAGAGACGCATAGGAAGGGAGTATATCCTCTTTATGTGCCTCTCCTCCACCGTCAATCAAGGGTAGGCAACATTGCATTGCGGATTTTTATGGACAGAAGTTATGGTTTCCATTTCGGTGGATTTAGGTGGCCGCTTGCTCGTTTGCCACCTTATAAAACATCTATTTATGTGCGTCTCCTCCGTCGATTAGGGGTAGGCAACGCAGCTGCTATTACAAATGTCTGGGCGATTCCATTTCGGCGGATTTAGGTGGCCGCTTGCTCATTTGCTAGTAGTAATATCAAACTGTTGTGCGATTGTCGATTATTTCGCAACCATCAACTGTTTAGTTGCACTAAAAAGCAAGTAGTGCACACCTTGTCAGCTCATAAGAAAGCGAGACTAAACAGTTATGCGATAGTTTAGTTTCAGGTACGCACGGTCTTAAATGCTAAAGGATTTTAAGTCAACTTTAAATGATTGTGACAGTAATTTTACGAAGAACCAAGTCACAAACAATCGCATAGTTGTGCGATTGTTTAGTCAAAGATGTGTGTGTTTTTTATACCATAAAGTGACAAACTAACAAGCGGCCACCTGAATCCGCCAAAATGGCGAAGCGACTGCTGCCCATAGACATCCGCAATTGCAGATGCGTTGTCTACCCTTGTCCGACGGAGGAGGAGACGCATAAAGTGAATATTTCCCTACCTATTCATCTCCTCCACCGTCAAATCCACTTCCCCTTTCCATCCTCTCCTTATAAGAAAAGGGTGTTAGAGAAATTGACTTAAATTAGGCCTCCGGCACCACACTCATCAGACGAAACACGGAATTGCTTCCATTTGACGGCTGTCTTCTGTGTGGTCGTGGTATTACTGGGGGCGTGCCGACCCTGCAGTGCTAACATGTTAAAGCGGGCATTAACACTGTTAAATTAGTACGTAAGTAAGTAAGTACTTAAGATGTCGCTGCAGAGCGCTAGGCTCATTGAAGTTATGTCCGCACTTGCTGCAGGAGGTCGCTAGCGGCGCGTGCGTACGCACTTGCGCGTCAGCACCTGTTTTAAATATGACTAGTATATTACTGCAAATTTAAAATACTGAAAACTTGACCAGATAACAAGATAAGGGATTAACTAGATAAGTGAATTTTATGAAATACTAGCTGTTCCCGTGCGACTTCATGCGCATGAAATTATAAACACATATTATTGCTTACTTTTGTGAAATTTTTAATTGCAAATGTACAAATGACAACGAAAGTCTTTGACATTGAATAACAATAACCGTTACCAGTAACCTTTCTTATTTCATGTTGTCAGCTTGTAGTTGTTGTCCCTTTTCTGCTTGACGATTATTTTCAAATTATCTAATACCTAAGATTAACAGCTTGAAAATATATAGCCTAAAGTGTCGTAAGTAAAAAAAAATCCAAAAATATACTGTAATTGCTGACATTTTACACAACTATCTGTATGCTTTATTATCTTAAATTAAGTTATAATAAAGCGTAAACACACACTTCTTTGTTGCCTAAGGTGTCAGCAATTACAGCATATTTTTGAATAATTCTTTTTCAGTAAAAAGCCCTACACTTACGTCACGCTTTAGGCTATATATTTTCACGTCATTAAACTTAGGGGGTAAATATTATGGTAAAAAAACCTTAATGTGGGAAAGAGACCATAAGCTGCTGCCAACATCAAGGAAGCAAGATTGCCACAGTAAGGTAATTGGTATTTTGAATTTGACAAATGTAAACAATAAAATAAAATTTTCATAATTTTATGCGGATGAAGTCGCGCGGGAACAACTAGTGTGAAGTATAGGTAATGTAACACATACCTTGTTCATCACTCATAGAAAGTGTCACATCACTATGCTCCTTCTGTCTATGGGCGTAAAGTGCTGTTTTGTTTGGCAACACCATGCTGCAATCCCGACAGGGTATCCTGAGTAGAATTTACAAATCGGTATTTAAAATAAATTCCTTGTAACCTAAGGTTCCTTTCGCACGGCCAACGACAAACAAACGCGTCAAAGTTGACGTGACGTCATAGTTGACGTTAAAAATGTTGCGATGACGGTTTTGTAGCTAAAATGTACCTAAAATATAGCTCAACAACTAAGTTTCTATTGATTTTCAGATTTCTAGTAAGAATAATGTATAATGTCGATATATCTTGATTATATTTCATTAAAATCTATCTCAAGATTAAGGAACTAGGCAACAAACGTACAAAACTTTAAAATATAGTACCTATAGTCATCTCTAGCGATTTTTGTGGTACCACCGCCGTCCTCGGGTCCACTCTTGCCGTGCATCTTCTTTCTGTGATATGCCACACTCCAACTGCTCCCAGTAAAGAAATGCTATATTTTAATACGTAAACCAAACAAATACTATCTTATTTCACAGAGAGTACATTTTTACTTGAAAATACTAGAACATTATCTTAAAAAAACTAATGGATGTATGGATATATACCACATAAACAGGCCAATGTATCATGACCTCTGTAAACATAGTAATCACCTGTTAGGGAAGGTGAGGTCGCACTGGTTACATTTGTATAGAAAATTCTCATTAGCATGCTTCATACGACGATGAACTTGTAGATACGTCCAATGCAGATACGACCGGCCGCAGTCCTGGTACATTTAGAATGTTCTAGAATGATTCTTTAATCCGGTTTCCACTAAGCGATTAATCGCACGACTAAGTCGAAAATGGTGGAAAATTTGCAAACATTGCATACATTGTGAAAACTTATCTGAAATTGAAATATTTTAGACAAGCTGTTGCTAGCAACTTTGCCCGCGCGAAATTAAAATATATAGCCTATGTTACTTACAGATAAATTATCTTTCTGACGGTGAATGAATTTTTAAAATCGGCTCAGTAGCTTTTGAGTTATTTCAATACATACAAAAATCTAAAAATACAAATCTTTCCTCTTTATAATATTAGTATAGATATAGATGGAGGGGGGCTACCACTAATAAAGTAACAAATAGTCGCGCTCAGTGGAAAAGGGACTTAAAAACCAATAAATTTTACGGTGTAAAATGATTTAACCTCGCATAGGAAATGTTTGACGACAGGAAATCCTCCATAACCTAAAATACCAGTAGCGGCAGGCCCAGCTTCAGAGGAACCTGGAGATTTTGCTGCTTTCTGGCAATCAGCGAGGGAACGCTTGTAGAAGCCGTGTGTAGTTTTGTGTGTTGTACATCTGTATCATAAATCAGTCCCTGTACCTTTCCATAGAGAATTGGGACACTTCAGTTGCACTCAAAGTTGGGTTGAGAGGGTTTTAGTTAATCAAATTTCACATTTATTTATTTCTGAATCTTTATTATGCCTACCTCTTGGGATTATTCACAACCGTCGCCCGCTCTGTCCCCACGTGGAGACAGATGAGAATAAAAAGATTCATCCGTCCCACCTTTTGCGATGAGGGGACGGTTGGAACTTTATTTCATAACGGTTTCATCTGTCACCTTAATGGCGATAGTGGGACTAAAAGGTGAGACGGATAAAACTTTATATTCTCACGGGGGAACAGAGTAGGGTGACGGTTGGGAATAATCCAGCTGTTGCCCCCGGCTTCCTTCACGCAATATTAAGATAAAAAAGTAACCTATAATATGCCCGTCTATGTCACCTACCCTTCAATGAAAGTCCGGTCGAATTCTACCCAGACGTTTCGGAGTTAACCCAGAACAAAAGCGACAGCGACAGACAGACAAACAGACAAAAAAAATTAAATGCCGTTTTCGTTATTAGCATCATAAGTACATCATGTTCCCGATATCTGGATTTTTTCCTTTGATATTATAGACACTCCAATTTTATTATATGTATATGTCTGCCTCTTTCTTCCAGACGCCAGTATCTTTGGATTTCCCTCCAACAAATAGGTATCAAGTATCAAAACTAAGTAGACGTGCTATATCGTAATCTATTTGTGTTACCATATGACGACCATAGTTAGTTATTTAATCGTTATTTAAAGAATAGCTTAGTAATATTTCATTCTGACTAAAACATTAGTCATATGCCCTTAACGAGATAGTAAGTAATTTAATGATTTAAGTATTTTTTTTTATCATACAAAGTCTACATGTCTCGCTTACTTGACAATATACGAGAAGCTGTAAAAATAAATCTGTTTAAATTTTCCTAAACAAAAAATACTGTATTCCGAATGAAAACTGGTCGTTCCTGAAATTCCTGAAAACCTGAAAGTTTACCT